TGATCATGTTACTCTCCCTGCTTAAAGACCCTTCTTTGGCTTTCTGTTACTTAGAAGATAATTATTTGAATTTCTCAGAATGACACACTGAGTCTTCTACGATATGAGCTCTGTCGTCTTACGCAGTTTGCCCTCTCTTCACTGTACTCTGAGCCCTGCCATTCTGCACTTGGCGTTAGCTAAAGGGCATGCTGCTTCAGACCTCTGGGCCTTTATTCACAGACCATCCTGACCTTATCGGCTTCCTGTTTTCCGTCCCCTAAAAAATATGAATTCAACTTCAAGCCTCAGGTGAAACATACATTCTGTTATGAGCCTTTCCAAAACCTCCAGGTTGAAGTAAGGACTTCTTTACTTTGGCCCTGTTGTTTCACACGTCCGTAGCTTTGTCAGAGCACTTACCACTTCATGGGATCAACTCGTTTACATGTCTGCCTGTTCCCACTTCAGGGTAGGAAAAATACAGTTCTAACAGCAAGTATTTACTATGTTATTTTTAATTACTTAATATTTTTGAATTCTGAAACTGTAATTACTTAACTAAGTTTGAGTTTCTGTTATGATTTTTACAAAATTATTTTACAGTATGATTTTTAAAAAAAAACACACTCAGCTAACTTATGGGTAACCTTTTTCATTTGTTTTCTTATTGCTTCTTGAAAAGACATAGAGGATAGAGGAAGCCACATAAAAGTTCCAAATGAGTAGATGATTATTCTTATAAATTAATATTTTTGGTAGACAAAAACAGTCTGATGTGTTACATGTTTTTAGTAACTTTATTTAGAGATACGCATTTTAAAAATTATTTTTAGGAGAAAGTTACTGTCATGAGCACCATTAATCCAACTAAGGACCTGTTGGCTGACTTGATTGGGTGCCAGCGACTTCCTGAAGACCAACGTAAAAAAGTACACCAGCTAAAGGACTTGTTGGACCAGATCCTAATGTTGGACCCAGCTAAACGAATTAGCATCAACCAGGCCCTACAGCATGCCTTTATCCAGGAAAAAATTTAAACGAGATGAAGAAGCTCCAATGGTTTGAGTAATTAAATACAAAGACTGAAGAAATTTCACAGCAGTTTATTAATGTATATAAACTTATAAATATTTCTCCAGCAAATTTGAGGAAGCATGATATATTTGAATTAACACCAAGGGTGATATTTCTTTTAGAAATGTTAGTTAATCTGTTTTGTGTCTTATGTGAAATTTCACTGTAGAACTGTTTTAACTGCCAAGACTGCACAAAATTACAGTGCTAATGGACATGATTGCAGTTCACATAAAAGACAAAAGCATCTGTTATAAAATAAGTAGCAATACTGGGTGGTTGATTTATTTTTAGCAGACTTGGCTTCATTTTGGTCTTCAGGTAAAATGGCCAGCATAAATGCTGTTTATATTCACATTTTCCTAGGTGTGTGTGTGCAGGCCACAGCAGCATGCCCTTGGTGTAGTCATTGCCGAAAGGGGTCTGTTCCTTCTTGAGCCTGCCTGCAGGGATGGTCTCCTCTTTTAAAGCAGGTTGTGTACAACATTCAGTACACTGAAGGTAAGCTAAACCATCAACATCACTGGTGTTTTAAGATGTTATTTTATTGGAACAATTGACAAATGAGGGATATTAGCTTTGTGGCAGAATTCCCTGCATGTGTGATACCTGATCTTGTTTTATTTTTTTGGCATTGCAACTGTGGCATAGTTACAATTTCTGTTCTGTTCATCACATTTAAAATTTGAAGAGTATGCGCTTGATGGATAGAGCGCCTTCAGTGTACTGTTTCTTATTAACTTTAATTTTTTAAAATCAACTTGCTATAGACTTTATATACATTTTGTTAAATACAGTTCCTAGTGACATAGAAAAATGCGTAGTTTTCATTTACTAAATTACAAATGTTGAGGCATAATTCTGAAAGTCCTCATATTTAAAAGTTAGATAGACAACATAATGAAATTTTTAACTATTTGTATGTCATTTTGAAAGTGTACTGCTTTATGGTAAAAGTGTTTTTCATTTGTTCATTGTTTTCATTATTTGTGATCATGTTGTCTTTCAATACAGGCATAAACCTTCCACTCTTGAACAAAGCAGCTGCTTTTTAAAAGCGGTAATTGCTTCTTTACCTTTTATTTCTTTTGTAAATGAAGCTTTTCTTTAAGAATGTGACTTTAAAGTGTTGTCTATTGCATAAAACAGTTGACACTCACTTATTGTAAAGTGAAGATTGTTCTACTGCATGTGAAGTGGACCATGCAGATTTCTGTATGTTCTCAGTATGCATCACTAGATAATAAAGTCTTTTGTGAACAAGGCATTTGTAGCCATTTTTAAAATTTTTGTCTTCAGTGCTGGTAAGTCAGGTAAACCATAAATAGTTAAAAGCAACCTTTTGTTTCTCCCTTAAAGTATTTAACAGAATTATTTGCTAAAGATGTAAACCTAGCCAAAAGTTTATTATTTTATTACTTATTAGGATCCTAATTATTTCATCAAAAATTCTACAAATATTGTCAGCTTTCAGTGTAGTGAGGTAATTCCTGTAGGTTAGGGGTGTAAGTCAGGATTTAACTAATGTTTCTGCTATTTTCTCACTTTTCCTTTTGATGGTGCGGAAAGAGAAAACAGGAAAACGGCACAGGCCATTCAACGCCTTCTCCAAGGGGTCTGATTTGCTGAGACACCAGCTTCACCTTCTTACAAGGTTATTTCTGACAGCATGTGTAGATAAAAATTTAGCAACAGTTTAAAACAAAAATCATGTAAATCAGCTTGGTTTTGCAACACAAAGGAATTTGTACTTTTAACATGGTGGAAGAGAATTTTCAGAAATTTATGTCATCTTTGTCATTTGGGTGGTAAGATTAGTTCTTGTCTCCCTGAGGAATATGGAAAGTAATCAGATTTTAAGGGCTTAAATAAATTTTAAAATTGTAAATGGGATTTTTTTATTCACCCAGGCACTAATTACCACAAGCATGCACATTTTGGTGCATTCAAGAATGGAAAATCAGAATAGCAGCATTCTTCTGGTGGGTTTTGCTCCATTTAAAGACATGAACTACAGCCAGGAAAGCAATAGATGAGCTAATAAGCCAACTTGAATCTACACCCCATCTCGTCACGGTTTAGACTTACTAAAATAGATACAAGGTGGTGGTCATCTTCAGGTAGAGTGAAGCCTTGTAAATGAGGCATCACAGGGGCAGCTTTCTACCTTAATGGAATGGGTAGAGATTTCCCCACCATTATTTACTTTATTTTGGTGATAATATGCTGCATATTCAAGTCTTTTGTAGTTATTTTCACTCAAAATAGTTAACATTTTGACGCTTCTGGTGATTTTCATGGCTTCATTTAAAAATAATTATTTAAGTAAGTTAACTTCTAGAAACAGTTCATCTTATGCCTTCAAAGCTGTTAGATGTTACTTAAAAAACAAAGTTGCTTGTTACTTGTTCTTTGTGTTTTAGGTGCAGCTCAGTGGAAGATGATGACAACCGGAAGACATGAGCTAAGGTTTCTGTTCTATAAAAGATTAAAAAAAAAAAAGAATTCTCCATTTAATTTCTGTCTAATTTTTTAGTTTCAGCATTATGATTTGGGTTTCATTAATGTTTGGTACTTAGAATAGTAATGCTATTGTGTTCATTTGTAAAGTGCTTGTTTTATCATGCTCCTGCCTCTCCCCCGTCTTCTCTTCCCTAAAATAAAATAGTGGTCAAATTTAGTCATATATAAGACTCTTGAATGGTGAGACTCCTCATATAACACATGGTTTTCAAATTTGGTTCCTAAGGTTTACTAGGAAAACAGCAAACATCCAAATAGCTTACATCAAAACATAGTCTTTAGTTTTATGTATCCTATCTCCTTAGCAGATGCAAAATAATAGAAACTGGAATTTTAAGAACACTGTTCAACTCCTTTAATATTCTATCCTCCAACTCACCCTTTAGTATTTTGTTAACAAAGTGCTCCAGTCATGGTCTTAAAGTAGGCAAAATATTTAGAGCCATTGTGTTTTTCTTCTTAAGGGAAATGAGAGATGATACAATGTAGATGTTTTTTAAAAAATATATCTTTATTGATTTCAGAGAGGAAGGGAGATAGAAACATCAATGATGAGAGAGTCATTGATCGGCTGCCTCCTGCACGCCCCTACTGGGGATCGAGCCCACAACCCGGGCATGTGCCCTGACTGGGAATCAAACCATGATCTCCTGGATCCTAGGTCAATGCTCAACTACTGAGCCATGCTGGCTCGGCTGATAGATCTTTTATATTCCCAAAGTAAGCATTCCTAGATTAGTCTATTTGACAGGAACCCTGTAAACAGTCTATATACATGTTATTAGAATTTGTAGTTTTGCTGAGGCAGGAATTTGGAACTCTGCAAGACCTCTGTTAGATTGAGATCTTTAGTGAATAATCCTTTAAAAACTTGCATTCATGTTTCAGAGTAGCTGTATAGTTTTCAAGTACAATTATCTCATGAAGTTTTTGCTTTATTACACTTTATGGCAAAAATGATATCAAGTGATTGTCAGACTGCAGGGTTCATAAGTCTTAGGATGTAGCTCTCAAAGATGTCTTAGTTCTTTCTGTAGTTGGGGGAATAGTTGAGATTTTAGGAAACAAACATTTTGGACACTGTTCTCTAGGTCTAGACCTTATTCTTAAAGGTTATCAGAAAGTAGGTTGGAGTTTTGAGGCTTTGAAGGGATGGAGCATCTTAAATCTTAAAGCCGTACAGCATTTGTATTCACCCCTAAATCTTTACTAATAGCACTTATTTCCTTATTCCCCAATGCCTATCTCAGCCCACTCTACTTTTTTGCAAAATAACTTTTTAAAAAATATGTCTTTATTGATTTTAGAGAGAGGAGGGGAGGGAGATAGAGAGAAACATCAGTGATGAGAGAGTCATTGATCAGCTGCCTCCGGCCAGGGATCAAGCCCACAACCTGGGCATGGGCCCTGACTGGAAATGGAACCTGTCTCCTTGATCATAGGTCGATGCTCAACTACTGAGCCATGCTCACCCGGGCCTCAAAATAATTTGTTTTAGAAGAATTTTTACCTTTTCCCTCTAACTAAAATACTCAGGACACTTTTAACAATACAAAAAACGTATGTTTTATGGTATGTAGTAGAGGCAGTGAAATGTAATGTTTTCTGATTTGTTCTATGTCTGAAAACAAATACTGTACTTTACTTGGACTTTATCATCATTTTGTAGCAGGACTCTAGGTGGCTAGGTAGAAATAAAATCTGTGAAATGAAACAAAGGAATCACATACCTGAAAATTTAGGCCAAGTAGTTGAGATAAGAAATGTGGGAGATAAGCCAGATATTCAAGTATGTAACTTCCTTCCCTTAGTTATGATGACATCATTAGAAACTGGGCTTCATCAAGTGTTTCTTCATAGCATCATAGTTCAGTCATATTCAACATGAATTTTATCATCTCCTAGATGGAAGGTCCTCCTTATCAAATGTTCAACACAAACTCATCTGTGTTTTCACATGTCAGTAATGTACACCAAATTGAGTTTTCAAATGTTTTCCAGTTATTTTCATTGATGATATCATGGCATCTTTAATTGTTCTTTTCCTTCTATATGTAGGGGGAGGGACTCTTCTGAAGAATCTTTCCGTTTAGTGATCAAGATATGGAAGCTGAACTCTTGAAAATACTCATGTGTATTCTAATTGTTTGTGGTATAATTTGAATTGTAACTTGCATTTTAGCAGCAATGTTCCCAACAAACATACTGAGAAAACATAATAAAGTACGCCTCTTGTTACTATGTTGTCTCCTGATTTTTTCTTTGCCTGGTTATGTTGAGTTTTAAGTTATACACCATTTCTTACCTGATGTTCCCTAGGTGCTGTTTCACTGATGTTCACAGATGTTTCAGAAGTATTCTGTGCCAAAATATGATTGGGAACTGGCGGATTAAAGTTAAATATTTAGAAGTTCTCGGAAGACCTCTGATGTGCTTGTGAGTCTCAGTGAAGAGGAGAGGTGTGAGGGATGCTTTCCTAACTTCGTTCTGCCCTTTCACAGAGCCTACAGCTTGGAAGCAGCCAGCTTAGTATGATTATCCTTTCAAACATCAAGACACTTTCTAAGCAGCTAAGTGCAGAACATACACCAAAGGGTATTGTATTAGTGTTTGTTTTTTTAAAATTTTAATTTATTGGTTTTTTTTCTGTAACTTAATTTTTTTTTTTAATCCTCACCTGAGGATGTTTTTTTTTTCCATTGCTTTTCCGAGAGAGTGGGAGAGAGAGAGAAACATCGATTGGTTGTCTCCTGCACAAAACCCTGACGGGGCCAAGGGAGGAGCCTGCATTTGAGGTACGTTCCCTTGGCTGAACTCGAACCCAGGATCCTTCAGTCTGCGGGCTAGCCACTGAGCAAACCAGCCAGGGCTATTCATGTTCTTTTTACATGTGTTTTTTATTTGGTTTTCCTAGTAATAGAAACATAATAAGCAATGAGATAATTCCCTTTCTGTAAAGATTAAATAAATTGCTTTAGTGCAGATGGGGAAGCCTGACACCCTCAGTCTACTCTTCATTTTCTTCTGAGAAAATGTCTTCAGCATTTTAAAACAGTGAATAAAATACTTAGGAGGTCCTGTGGATCTTTAGCACATGCAAAGCAGGATTGCGGTTGGAGGGCCAGAGTGTCTGGCATGTAGGATGTGCTTGACCCAGCTGGAGCTGCCGCCCCCCAGAGGCTGGTGGACTCTTAGTTTGGTGGAGCCCTGAGTCTTATAAGAAATGGGCCAAGCCCAGCCGGGCGTGGCTCAGCGGTTGCGCATCGACATAGGTTCGATTCCCAGTCAGAGCACATGCCCAGGTTGTGGGCTAGGCAGCAGATCAGTGACTCATCATTGACGTTTCTCTCTTCCCCTCCCCCCTCCTTTCCTCTCTCTGAAATCAATAAAGATGTTAAAAAAAAAAAAGAAATGGGCCGAGTGGCAGTGGCTCTGGATAGCCTTGTAAAGTACCCGAGTGCAGTTTCTACTTGGGCTGCAGAGGATTAAGAGCTACATAATCATCTAAAGTGGTTGACAAGGGCCGTGCCATCCTGTTTTTATTAGGGAAAGTAATTTGCACAGTGTATTGGGTTGGGGAGGGTGTTGCTGCAAACTTTCAAGAGAAAAATCTTTTACATGTGCTTTCTCTTACTGATGGGAAAGTCAGAATTTACGTCAGTTAAGATCCAAAGAGTTAAGGTAAAGTACTGGAGATCTAAACATGGTAATCTGAATGAGCAAGCCAAGTTTAACATTTCCTGAACAATTATTTTCATTTATTGTATGTCTCTGTTACAAAGTTTACCAAATGTTTCTTCAAAAATAATGGTGGAAGTTTGTTTTCAACAGCCCTGATAGACAAATATTTTGAATCTGTTTATGACTACATCCCCTCCCAAACCCCGTTGCTCATGGTGAGTTTCTTTTCACCAAAGTCCCACGTGTTGCCTGTTTGAACCAAGCCTGTTGCTCCCACCATTCTACAGGATGGACTTGAGGTGGCTGTGTGTGCTTCCTACACACAACTTGGCCTCATTTTAGGGCTCAGCTTAAACAAAAAATATTCCCGGCAACTATATTTTTACTAAGTGATCATGACATTAAAAATTATTAGGTCCTTTGCTTCATAATTAAAATCAGCAATGCTGCTTGTATTTTTACATAATTAGAGCAATTTTGGTCTCACTGGAAACAATCTGGTAGGTGTTGCAGTAGCTCTTGTTTGTTTAGGTGTAATGGCATCCTAGATCAAGAAGCCTGGCTCCACGAAGAACCTGTACAACCCTCCCTTTCCCCCCAACACACACACACACACACACACACACACACACACACACCCACCCCCCGTTCCAAGAAGAAATTAGCCGTAACCTGTACAACCCTCCCTTTCCCCCCAACATCCCCCCTCAAAGAACCAAAGTAGCCTTCAGTGAGGACCAACCCCATGTGACTCCCGTGAGGCTGCTCCCTCATCACCACCGCCTCTAAAAGGCTCCTCCCGCCCGGTTCCCATCTTCCAGGCTCGCTCCCGCTCCTGGTCGTGCTGAACCCAGGGCTTATGCCTTCGTTGCTCCGTATGTGCCTAGAGCCTAGCACGTGCCTCGCAAGAAGTAGGACATTAATCTATGATGAGTTGTTACTCCCGTGACAGTCAACTCGGTGTCGGCGCAGCTCATTCCATTCAGTCTGTCCTGTGTCTCCTATTCTCCCCGGTCTATTTTTTAAATATTGCCAGGCAGTTGGCTCAATCCTCACGTGACTATATGAGATAAAAGATCCTCTCCCCACCTTACAAATGAAAGAACAGCGAGGTTAAAGCCCGCCTGCGGCGCTGGAGCGGTTAGTGGTAGAGCCTGGGTGCGAGTTCAGGCCGCTCCGTCTCACACACCAGCCTTCAGCAGTGGGTCAAGTTCATTCCTTAATCAGACTTGGAAGGGTGTCTACCACCTGCCAGGCGATGACTGTTTGGGACACAGTGGGGAACGAAACAGTCGTATCTCTGCCTGAAGGTTTTACAAATAAACACGACATATTCCTAAGGTGAGGGGATAAAACCCAAACAGGTAAGAAAGGTAGAAATGATAATGGATACAAAGGACTGGTGAGCGAGGGTCAGGACTCAAGTCAGAACTGCGAGAACCGGTGTAAAGACGGTTGGTAGGGGAAAGGAGATCAGTGCCAACCGCAATTAAGTGGAAATAGAAGTTCATATTTGTATTATAATCCTGCAAAAGGGATGTTATGTCACTTGGGATGATGACAGTAATTGTATAGGATTTAGGTAAAATTCTATTATATAACCAGGGATCCTGAACAGCTCAGTTTACCTTCTATTGCTGTGTTGATACGGTTCCAGAAAATTCTTTGAAATTAAAACTAAGCACACTTTCTTTGACCCCTGCGTCTAAGACTGAGCCTTACTCTTTTATTAAAGATAGGGTGGAGGGCACTTAAACTACAGTTGCTCTCCGTGTTTATTTGAACTACCCTTTTACTCATTCATTCATCTCTAACAAACATTCCATCTTATCTGGGGGATGATACATAAAAAACCCGACTGCCTTTGTGCAGGAGGTTGGGAATGGGGAGAGGCCTTTTACTTTTTGTTTTTATCTTTGGGTAATGTTTGAACTTTTAACCATGTGTGGTTTTATTTTAATGTTTAAGAAAAAACTAAATTCACCAACCATTCACTAAAACCAAAGCACCCCCCAAAATATTCAAACTCTGATCTAAGCATGCCACATCACGTTTTTTTCTTTACAGTGTGTTTCAAAATGTGATCTGAGAACCACCTGCATTCAAATGACCTGGGATATCTGATTATATTGTAGGTCCCAGGCGGCACTCCTGAAGATTGTTTCTGTAAGCCTGAAATTGAACTTTTTTGTTTCCCTGATTCTTAGGTGCAGTAAGTGTCAATCAGTAGTTTCCTTTTTTAGCAGCTAATGAGTTAAGCTTTATCTTAGTTTGAGTTTCAACTAACCAGGGTTAAGACTTCCAGCAACAAAGAGCCTTGGGGGGAAAAATTCCATTAACATGAGATTCTGGCTTCTCTGTGGACAGTGACTTCTTCCCATTTTTCCTTGGACATTTGAAAACTGTTAAATCTAAGTGGAAGAGGGTTGTTTCATGCCTAAACCTACAGTTCAGTCCCAAAGAGAATCAATCTTATTTTCAAATGACAAAGGGCCTAGGAAATGTAAAGTTTAAAAATTCATAGGAGAACCTCGAAGAGCTTGTCTATTAACAAAACAGCAACTTCCTTAGCTTTTAATGGCCAAATACCCAAAAGATAGGTCAAAATAACAGACAAAAGAGATTGTGGAGCTGGGAAGGGAAAGAAAAAAGGTAACCAAGTGGGAAGAATTTTTTTAAAAAATCGCTGATAGAGGTAACTAACTCTTATATGTGTATAATAGAACGCAAGAGAAAAATAGCAGCAATATGTCAGCTATGCCATTTATTGATGATGGAACTGTACTGGGAAACAATCACTACAAAAGAACACTCTTTTCAGCAGAATAGTTTACTAAGTGAAACGTTTTGAAACAACATGCAAAAGACTGTTGAATGTGTTACCTTGTGTTGATATATAACCTGATCTCAGCAGTGACTTCCACAGGTTCCACTTCATATCACTTCAAGTAATTTGAGTGTGCGTGGGTGTGTGTGTGTAATACCTGCATCTCGAAATGATGAACCATATTTTAGCTGGGCTTCTTGGAACAGATTTGCTCACATTGAGATGTAAGGGGAAAAATGTTATTTTTGCTCAGTGGGCAAGCACTTACCCTTATCTCTAAATGAAGGCGACAGACAGTTCAGCTTCTGAATATACGATGGTCTGTTCAATGCTATGTGTTTTCGGTAAAGTTTCTTTTTGGTCCTGGGTGCCTTAATTTCTTCCCTCTGATTTTCAGAAAAAGACAGATGTATGGGTGAAACTGGTATTAGAGACCTTGTTGGCAGACAAGGTCTTGTTGATACCACTTTAACCAGTGATTGAGTTGACTGGGCAGTAGTGGGATTGGTTGAGAGTTCTTGGCATGGATTTAAAATGGAGCTTTGGGGATTCTTAAAGTCATCATAAGTTGCCATCAATTGTTTTGTTGTGGACGAGCTTTTTAGAGATGGTGGTCTAGAATTCCATTTATATTTGTCAGCACTGCTCCAATTCCATTTTGAAGCATTTTGTTCAAGCTTGCAAGAACCAGAAGTCTTTATTCTTTTTTCTCTAGTTTTATCTACACAAGTTATCTGAAGATTTACAGAGTCAGAAAGTTTTGGCTGTCTCATTTTGGGTATAGTTTTGGAGGAAAAAGGTCGTTCGGTAACTGCTGGAGTACAGAAGGTAGTTTGTAATCTTGGCCTCTCTTTTTGTATAGTCATATGTTGTAATCGTTCCATTTCCAATAAACGAGTTATCAAATGTTCAATACAGCTTTCGGGAGATTCCACTGTTGCTTTCCAATTTTCCGATTTTGAGAGGGCTAATTTGTGCAAGTCCAGAGTATTGAGAGGAGGAGGGAGAAAATCAGGATATGGAAATACTTCACTTGATTCCTCTGTGAAAGATTCTTCAACATTTTCTATTGTTTCTGGCTTTAAGTTCAGGTCCATCTTTTTAAAATAGCTGAGTAAAGTATCATTTGCCTTTTCATTTTCTGACAAATCACTTTCATCTGTTACAATTTCTTCTACACTGCTGTTTCTATCCTTCAAATTCCAATTTGGAGCAGATAAAGTTTCACCATTGTTGTTTTCTATAGCTGAACATAAATTAATAAGAACCTCATTTTTGTCCTTAAAAAAGTCTCCAACAGCATAGGGCCAGCAGAGACCTAATGGCGTCGGCAGTTCAGAGTAAGAACCAACTTGCTTATCAGCTGGAGCACTTGTTAGTGAGTGGTTCAGAGTGAAGAGCCTTATGGGATTGTTGGTTGTATTAAAGCCAATTTCCATTGAAGGTTTTTTGAAATCCCTTAAAAATGATTTAATTAATGAATAGCTTGTTGACTAGAATTAAAATGCTATTAAATGATAATATGTAACCTTTGTTAAAAACTAGTTAATGTTTAGTTCCTAATGGCATGTGTATCTATCTTAACAGAAATATGCTAATTTCCAAATATGCTCTAACTGTATCCAACTATGTACATTTTTAAAGTATTGATTAAAATATTAGCTGGGCATCCCCTGGTGCATGCACAGGTAATGAGATCATTATAACTACAAATGTTTAACTGTGGCTATGAATGGCCATTAGGTTAAAAGTGGCTAATTATATCTATTGCCTGTGAATATATTGTACATGCAATTATGCTGCGTGAAAAGGAGGCTGTCCAACTCAGACTGAAATTATAGTGAAATGTTTACTGACCCAGAATTAGATAAAAGGAAACTCTTAAAGAAAGTAATTAGGTTACTTAATAAAGGATTCTACTTTAGCCATTGTGTGTGTGTTTTTTTTTTAAAATTATTCTAACAAAAAAGGATGTGAAACAATGTCTATCAAACAAAAATTACCCCAGATATAGGCCATAGTAACTTTCACCTGATGGTGCTCTTTTGCTTTAGGAGTAAATACTTCTGGGTATTACGTTAAAATGAAAACTGCAAAAGAGCAGTGCCAAAGAATACAGAGTTTAGTTTGTAGTTAGTTTTTTGTCTTTTTAAAAAATATGTCTTTATTGATTTCAGAGAGGGGAAGGGAGAGGGAGTGAGAGAAGCATCAATGATGAGAGAGTCATTGATCGGCTGCCTCCTGCACACTCCCCACTGGGGATCGAGCCCGCAACCTGGGCATGTGCCCTGACCCAGAATCGAACCTTGATCTCCTGAATCACAGGTCAATGCTTATCCACTGAGCCACGCTGGCTGAGCTGTAGTTAGTTTTTTTTAAAACTTACTAGAAATACTGACATTGAAAGATTTGATCCATTAATTAACATATATACATGGTGTTCCAAAAATATATATACACAATTTAAATAATTATAAAGGCAGTGTTTATTAAAATACATTTCATTTTCAAAATGCAACAGAACCTACAGACATTGTGGGTATATATTTTTGGGGAGATACCCTGTATATAGTTTCATTATCATCTTGCTTTTGTTAAAGCCAGTTTACATTAAAGATAGCAAAGTAATCTTGAAAGCTTCTGAAAAATATTTTCATTTCTACAGAAAATGGTAAAAATTTATTCATTTAGTTAAATATTAGGTATACTGACTTGCTTTTGAAAAACCACAGAAAAATTACTTTATATCTGCAAATGGTCAGAGACACAATCCTATAGTGTAGTAAAAAGAGCATGGACTTTGGAGACAGAAGGCCTAGGTTTGAACCCCTCTGCTGCCGGTGAGCACAATGGAAATGAGAATGCCTGCCTTGGAGGTGCTCTAAGAAATAAGACGATTATATGAACGTACTCTGCACAAACGTTAAACACTGAGTGAAAGTTACCATTACTTTTATTCTCTTTACTTGTTGATTGTATATTGAAGAGGAAAATCTCCGTAATGAAATATTTCATTGATACCAAGTTTCCAACTCTGCATTATTAGGCCTTCCCAGTATTAACGGCAAATGCTTATTGAACCTATTATTTTGTTTAGTCCTGACAACAACCCCATGAAACTGGCACTTTTATTTCCTGCCTTTTATGAGTAAGGAAACCGAGGCAAGGCTGGTTAAGGTCACACATCTAGTAAGTGATGGAGCTGGGATTTAAACTCGTGGGAGGATCCCATGTGTGTGATCCTAGCCTGCACTCTACTGTTCGCTCTTCTGTTGGTTAGTAAGATAGAATTCATTTCGTTTGACCTCTTACCTTGAAATCCTTGTTCCCAGCTGATTTCTTTCTTACTAAGTAGCCTTTCCTATCCCCTCAACATCGACATTTCCTTAGGACATTAATCAGTACAACCCCTTTGGCACTTTTTGGGTTTCACCCTTCAAAGTTTAGCAGTAGGTGAGTTTATTCTGAGCCTCACAGAGGTAAAAACCCTCTGACTAGGAGATAGCTGCTATCAAGGAACCATCCCATTGTCAAAACTGCATACAAAAGAGAGGGACAGAACTCAAGTGCCCCGTTAAGTAATATACTGTATATAAAAGTGACACAATGGCGTTCAATAAACGTTAATTTCCAAATAACAGTAATCTGCATTTTTAAGAAATGTTATAGCTGATTCCAATGCATACTAAAGTTTAAGAACCAAAAAATAAGAATTCAAATCCAGGTAAGGTCTGAGAAGCAATATCCTATAGCGGTTATGAGCATGAATCCAGCTACTTTTACATTCTGCTTCTACCATTTATTACTTGTATGGCTTTGGGTAAGTTCCTTAACTTGCCATCTTGCCTCAATGTCCTCATCTGTCAAACAGGGATGATGATAACAGTACCTACCTTATGGGATTGTTGTGAGGGTTAAATGAGTTAATACATATAAGAAATTAAACTTGTTGCTGGCACATGGAATATTACTGTCCTGGTACAATTCCTTTTCCCCTCAATAAGAGTCCAGACTCTAACCATATTCTAAACCCTCACTGTAATAGTGTAGGAAACTCACAAGCACCCATATATTGATTATCTCTGTGGTGTCTGCCAGTCACTTTCTAGTTTAGTGTGTGTTTCTATAATTTCCCATTATTTTGACATAATACTTTTTTCTTCTGGTTGTTTTTTGTTCTAATATTTCAGATAAATAGTTAACTCATGTGTATCTAAATTTATTTCACTAATAAAGGGGTTTACAAAAATATCCTCTCACCTGTTGTCCATGGTACTTCCTTCTTTAAGATGATAACTCCCTAAGTGAAATATCCCTTGTTTACTATTCTGATAAGAGAAAAGTCATGGACAACATTTTAGTAACATGCATTTAAAAAACAACAACAACAACAAGAAAAGCCCAGAGTAAGTAGAAGGAAGGAAATAATAAAGATCAGAGCAGAAATAAATGACATAGAGACTAAAAAATTAATACAAAAGATCAATGAAACCAAGAGCTGGTTCTTTGAAAAGATAACCAAGATTGATAAACCTTTAGCCAGACTCATCAAGAAACAAAAAGAGAAAGGACCCAAATAAAATAGAAATGAAAGAGGCGAAGTAACAACTGACACCATAGAAATACAAAGCATTGTAAGAAAATACTATGAACAACTATACACCACCAAGCTGGACAACCTGGATGAAATGGACAAATTCCTAGAAAAAAACAACCTTCCAAAACTCAGTCAGGAAGAGTCAGAAAGCCTGAATAGGCCTATAACTGGTGATGAAGTTGAAGCAGTAATCAAAGGGCTCCCAGCACACAAAAGCCCTGGCCTGGATGGCTTCACAGGTGAGTTGTACCAAACATTCAAAGAACTAACACCTATCCTCCTCAAACTATTCCAAAAAATCCAAGAGGAAGGAACACTTCCAAGCTCTTTTTATGAGGCAAGCATTAGCCTAATTCCAAACCAGATAAAGACACTAAAGAGAGAATTCCAGGTCAATAATCCTGGTGAACATAGATGGTAAAATCCTCAACAAAATATTAGCAAATGGGATCCAGCAATATATTAAAAAGGTCATACAACATAACCAAGTGGGATTTATTCCAGGAATGCAAGGCTGGTATAATACTTGCAAATCAATAAACGTGATACATCACATAAATTGAAAGACAAAAATCACATGATCATATCAATAGACCCAGAAAAGGCATTTGACAAAATCTAACATCCATTTTTCATAAAAACTCTCAGCAAAGTGGGAATAGAGGGCTCATATTTCAACATAATAAAGGCCATATATGACAATCCTACAGCCAACATCATACTCAATGGTCAAAAACTAAAACATTTCCTCTAAGAACAGGAACAAGACAGGGGTGCCCACTTTCACCACTCTTATTCAACACAGTACTGGAAGTCCTGGCCACAGTGATCACACAAGAAGAAAACATAAAAGGCATCCAAATTGGAAAGGAGGAAGTAAAACTGTCATTATCTGCAGATGACATGATACTGTACATAGAAAATCATAAAGACTCCACCAAAAAACTACTAGATTTAATAAATGAATTCAGCAAGGTAGCAGGATACAAAATTAACAACTAGAAATCAATGGCATTTTTATACACCAATAATGAACTCTCAGAAAGAGGAACTAAAAAAACAATCCCATGTACCATTGCAACAAAAAATTAAGATACTTAGGAATAAACTTAACCAAGGAGGTAAAAGGCCTGTACTAGGAAAACTAGAGGATGTTGCAAAAAGACATAGAGGAAGATATAAACAAGTGGAAGAATATACGATGTTCATGGATTGGAAGAATTAACATCAATAAAATGTCCGTACTACTCAAAGCAATCTATAGATTCAATGCAATCCCTATTAAAATACCAACAGCATATTTCACAAATATAGAACAAACACTTCAAAAATTTATATGGAAACAAAAAAGATCTCGAATAACCACAGCAATCTTGAGAGGGAAGAACAAAGTTGGTGGGATCACAATACCAGATATCAAGTTATACTACAAAGGCACTGTAATTAAAACAGCCTGGTACTGGCACAAGAACAGACACATAGATCAGTAGAACAGAACAGAGAACCCAAAAATCTACCCAAGCCATTACACTCAATATTTGACAAAAGAGGCAAGAACATACAATGGAGTAAAGACAGTCTCTTCAATAAATGGTGTTGGGAAAATTGGACAGGTACATGCAAAAAAATGAAACTAGATCACCAACTTACACCATAAAAATAAACTCAAAATGGAAGAAAGACTTAAATGTAAGACATGAAACCATAAAAGAAAACTTAGGCAGAAAAATCTCAGACATCTCTCGTAGCAATATGTTTGCCAATACATCTCCTCGGCCAACAGAAACAAAGGAGAAAATAAACAAATGGGACTATATCAAAATTAAAAGCTTCTGCACAGCAAAAGAAACATCAACAAAACAAAAAGGGAGCCCACTGTATGGGAGAACATATTTACCAATAACACATCTGATAAAGAGTTAATACCTAAAATCTATAAGGAACTCATACAACTTAACAAAAGGAAGACTTACAATCCAATTAAAAAATGGGCAAAGGACCTAAATACACACTTCTCCAAAGAGGACATGCAGATGGCCAAGAGACACATGAAAAAAGGCTCAAAGTCACTAATCATCAGAGATGCAAATTAAAACCACAATGAGGTATTGCCTCACACCTGCCAGAATGGCTCCATCAACAAGTCAACAAACAACAAGTGCTGGCAAGTATATGGAGAAAAGGGAACCCTAATACACTGTGGGAATGCAGACTGGTGCAGCCACTGTGGAAAACAGTATGGAGGTTCCTCAAATTAAAAATTGACCTGCCATTTAACCCAGTGATCCCACTTCTAGGAATATTCTAACAAACCCAAAACACCAATCAGAAAGAACTTATGCACCCCCATGTTCATAGCAGCATTATTTACAATAGCTAAGATCTGTAAACAGCCCAGGTGCCCATCAGTAGCTGAGTGGATGAAAAAGCTGTGGGACATTCACACCATGGAGTACTGTGCCGCGCTGTAAGAAAGAAGGCTCTCTTACCCTTTGGCGCAGCATGGATGGACCTGGAAAGGATTATGCTAAGCGAAATAAGCCAGTCAGAGAAAGACAAGTACCATGTGATCTCACTCATATGTGGAATATAATAAACAAAATAAACTGATGAAGAATATAAATCCAAAGACACAGAAGCATGGAACAGGCTGAGGGATCTCAGAGGGAAGGCAGGGGTGGGGGAGTGGGTGGGGAGAGATTAGTGAAAGAATTTATATGCTTAATTGCGTAACCTATGGACAGAGGCATTGGTATGGAGAAAGACTGGAGGTGTGGTGGATGTGAGGTAGAGGAGATCAATGGGGGGAAAAAGGGACATCTGTAATACTTTCAAAAATAAAGATAAATAAAAAAAATAATACTTTAGGGAAGGAGTATTATGAATAAAATCCCACCTGTGTTCTTTTGTGAGCATGCTCTGACAAGTTCAGTTCTAGCATCAGTTGCTCTACTGGAATTTCCAAATGGTTCTATAAAGCAGCAGAAGACTTTTAAACACAGTATATCTCTGTTCCTTACTCTTGTTCTAAGACTGATACTTTTTGTAACTGAGGAATATATAGTTCCAATCAAGAAATATATAGTGAAATCCTATAATATTCCCTTAAATACATACAAATATTATTTTTTACTGACTTCAGCAGGAATTAGTATAATCTTATAAAGACCAACTAAACAGTGTTGTCTAATGAGACTTGAATACTATTATCTGTATTTTACTAAGAGTTAAAAGTGTTTTATATTTTAATTTAAAAAAGTAAATGAAAGATTAATTTTCTCACTACTTCAAAATAAAATATTAACCATTTCAATTGCTTTAAGATATCTTTTGGCAATGACTAGAAAACACTATATTCACTGCAAAGTTGATTTCCATTTATAGTATTATATATTAAAAAAACTTAACATCATAAAATATTAATTTAAAGACCAATTTGCAGCCCTGTAAAAAATCAATGGCTTTGACTTGATTAAAGAATTTTATAGAAATGAAATATAAAGTTTAACTTTGAGTAAATACTTTTTTTAACGAACATATAATTTTAAAATCATGTTTAGTGAATTATTTAAAGCCAAACATTTATCTAAGCTTACCTTGTTAATTTTGCCTGAAAGAATGTGTATAAAAACATAACAATTAATAATTACATAAAACTGGTTGTACTAAAAACAAACCCCCTTTAATATGAGTGGTTATTCATATTATACATATGAATACTTTTTCATATATTTATAAATATAAGTATAAACATACACATCGAGGACTTCTTACCACCTGCTGCACTATCCCTTCCAGGTGGGAGGTTTTTATTTTCAGGGACAGGTACTTCTGAATCCAAATTCCAGTGAGATAAGTTCTAAAACAATATTTGTTTTAGGATAAACTTAATGTTAAGAAAATTTTAAAAGCTCAAGTACATAATTTGACATGTCCTTTGGGTAGAGTGTGACAAAAGGCACAAAGCTTCATGACCCGTGTACTTCATATAAGGGTACTACCAGCATATTTGAGGAGTATGAATCTCTCATCAAGTTATTATCAAGTCATTATCAGTTTGATAACACTTATTAGGAAATAAAAAGGCTTTTACAATAACTTATGGTTTCACTCTCACTTCGTTAAAAATAATGGCACATAGATTTTCAAAACTGAGTTTAAAAATATAATAAAATGTCCACTCCATTGTGTCTCTGGCACATAATGGCAAATTCACCACATCTGTATCTGAGTGCCAGATCTGAGAGCCTATAAAATCTTTCCATCAACCAAAGAAAATTCTCTAATTCTCACATTATACTCAATACTGGCCAGCCCACTACTCATTCTGGACCTCAGATGGTGAAAACACTCAGGAAATACTCAAAAAAAAGCCAAACAATGAATTAGAAAATGTATTCATATCGACTGAGTATTTATGTTCCAGGCATTGTGCTGAGTGCTATGGGGGAAAAAAAAATAAAAGCAGGATGTGTAGGAGAAGGTGTAATAATTTATCCTGGAAAAGGGAACATGAGGAGGTGATTAGTTTATTTTTTTTTAAAGTATTTTTTTTTTAGAAGTGAAGTCAGTTTTTTTTGTAAATTAAACTCTAAGCAATATACAAAGACGATGCCAGGTAGTATGAAGTGTCATCCCCATGCTAAGGAGGAACAGAGAGAATTAAGCTTAAATACAATGTGAGGATTTAACTGATCCGCAAAGATCGTCTCTTGATAGGAAGGAGAGTTGACTCTTGGGAGGTAGGCTGTAGATTCTCTTTGGTGGTGTTTGAAAAAATAAAATGAGTAAATTGTTCTCTGCTCTCTGAAATAATATGTTATAGGTCTCATCTCTATGTGAGAATTACCTGGGGAGCTTTTTAAGAAGTAATACTTGAAAAAATACTACGAATTCTGATTTAGGAGCTTGAGGCTAAGGCCAGGTATCTGTACTTTTAAATCTGTCCCTGACAGACTCTCAAGGTTCTCCCAGCCATGCCTGTGACCCTGGTCCACTGAAGTACACATTAAAGAGGGAGAGAAATATCCTTCAATTAGCATGGCAAAGGGACGCTGATGAACTGTGCTGTTGAGATCATACAATAAAATTAATATAACCAGGTTTGTCAACGACACATGAAGCCAAGTCGGCTGCGGTCTCCTTCCAGGTTGGGACTGCTTATTCTTTTTGATGTCCCACCTGCTTTACCAATACTTTTCACAAGATATGTGGGAGGAAATAAAACAAAATCCAACTGTAATCGGCAACGTCTGGCGATTTGGAGAGAAGCTGATTAGCTTTTTCTTTGTTACAAGAAATAAAAATTTTCCATTTGATATCCCAGATGTGCCAAGGGGAAAGCCCAGGACAAAGTGCTTAGGAAGGGACAGCAGCCAGGGACCTCAGCGGTAAGATTCAATGGGACTCAGGTCTTAACAGTGGGAGCTGCTGCCCCAGTGCTCAAGGTCAACAGCAAGGTCAACAGCGCCTGGCTTACCTCCTGAGAGATGTTTGACACAGGCAGGCTGGTGCCATAGTTCTCACCATTTCTTCTCCCCATCTTGCTCCTCTGGGTCCTTAAAATCCTGTACAGGTTGTGGAACAGGCGCATGTATGCGTAAGGTACAACAATGATTTAAAGAAAGCATGAGCTTTGGCTCCCCATCTAAAGGAGATTAAGAAAATATTTAGAAAGCAGAAGAAAGGGACTATGAGGGTAGGGCGGGGGTAACAAACACAATCAACCAGAAACAAGGGGCAAGCTAGGCCGAAAAAGGGCCAGGGAGGGGAAAGTGCAGAGACAAAAGAAATTGGATTAGGAATTATTAAGGTCTGAGATGACAAAGGAAAGATTATCAGACAGGAAAATAAAATACAAATTACAAAAATATATGGTGAATTATCTGGAACTTCTAAACCCTTGTAATCACCCAAAATAGGTGCTCCATGTAAAAGCAGAATCGAGCTCACGGGCGGACAGAGGAAGTCCCCGAGCATGTTTCAGACACTAAAAGGCCCGCGGGACCAAACGCTGCTTCCACACCAAACTATCCTGGTGTCCAAAGCCCACTGCTGCTGGAGAGGAAAGTATCGGAGAAACGTGAGAAAACAAGAAAAGCAGTCACTGGGTCCGGCTGGGGCAGTCACAGAGCGAAGCACCGCGGTGGTCGGGATCTTTGCTAATCTTTACATTTTATTGCCTCCTGGGGGGGCTGCATCCTGGAGAAATGGAAAACTCGGCCGGGCAAGTTCTGAGTCCGTGAGCGCCGGTCCCCCTGCTCCCGGCCGGGCGCTGGGGCGGAGGGAGGAGGCGGGCGCCCGGGGCAACCAGGCGGGCGCCCTGGAGGA